TCTGTCAAGAAGACACCCTGAAGGCACAAGTGTACGAAAAAGACGTCCAGAAGGAATGATTCACAAGAAAATATGCAGTAGATATTCACTGTTATGAAGGCATCCTGGAGACAAGAGTGCCAAGAAGATCTCAGGAGGCAACTATTCAGTGGCAATTCTCTCTCACAAAGACACTCTAGTGAGTCAAAAACACCTCTGCAAGTCACTGACTGTCAAGAATATATTCAGTGGCAATTGACTGTCACAGAGACATCCTGGAGGGTGAAGAGTGCGAAGAAGACCTCAAGATGCAATTCTTGCTAAGAACATATTCTGTGGCAATTCTCTGTCACGAAGACACAGTGGAGGCAGAAGAACGCCAAGATGTCCTCTGGAGGCAACAATTGCCAAGACGATATTCTGTGGCAATTCTCTGTCACGAAGTCATCCTGGATTCAGAAGTGTGTATTAAGGACGTCAAGATACAGTGACTGCCAAGAGGATATAAATTGGCAATTCTGTAACGAAGACACCCTGAAGGCAGATGTGTGCCAAGACGTCCTCAGGGGGCAATAAGATACCCAGTGGGAATTGATGGTCACGAAGACATCCTGGAGGCAGACGAACGCCATGAAGTCCCGTTGAGGTAGTAATTGCAAAGAACATATTCTGTCGCAATTCTCTGTCACAAAAACGCCCTGGGGGCAGACGAGTGCCAAGAATACATCTGGAGGCAATAATTGACATGGAGATATTCAGTGGCAATTGACTCTGTCATTAGGCGAGGGCAAGTTGGCAGTCATAGCCAGCTAGATTCAAGTAGTAAATACATCACTTCACTTTTCTGCTAACTCAGTGTTTATGATGATGATGCACAGCAATCTAAATTTACACATAGGCAATGTCTGAGTTTCATTTATGGCACTTTTAGGTCTAGACCTCGACTGAAAATAGGCACCAGACCATGAAGCATTATCTCCCTGTAAAGGAAGACTCGGTCCGCTGTCTGTCATCAAGTTTTAGTCAAGGTCCAGATGTTATTATCAGTGTCAGTGTCTCACGTCTAATACATAAACTAAGAGGCAAAAGAAAGCATAGGGTTTTATTTTTCCATATTTAATAGACAATGAACTGGTTCACCAGAATCGTCCAACTACAGATAATAAAAAACACATCGCTTAAACACAAAACAATATGTGAAGTGTTTGACTTCCTCATTGATGACATACATATGTGTAAATTTGGGGGGAAAGACATTTAGGCAAGAAGGGGCCATCCCCAAGGGCACCAGTTGTGCTCCCCTTTTTGGTGATGTTTCTTTATGCATATAAATCGAAATTTCTGCTCGAATTGGCAAAATCAAAACACAGTAATTTGGCCAAAAAATAAATGAGACTAGTGAAACCGTCTCCTCTGTTCCACATTTAGATGTATGAAGAGTGACAAAAAAAACTTCTCCACAAGCCTGTATGACATCACAAGAGGAATGACTGCAACTGTCCAATAGTCAGCTTATAACAACACAGCTCATAATTCTTGAGATCTGGACCCACTTGCACAAGCGCTAAGATGATCGTAACTACCATACTTTAACATAGGCTTACAATAGTCGTAGCACTAAGATCGCTTTGTGCAAGTGGGCACTGGTCTGGGTACTGCAGCATGTGGAGTACTCAGCAAATGGTTTTGGTTGTGTTTGGTCTATTGATTCTCAACCCTTTTGTAACACTATTCCGTCCTGGGCCCAACGTGTACAAAAATCAGTTTGGTAACGTATCTCCATCGCCCATCATCCATAATCTTAGTAATTAACAAAGTCCTAAAGCAGTTGTGAGTGCAAAATGTCAAGTTGACCCGCACCGACGTTTAAAGTTTTATCTGGGTCCATTTGGCTTATTCTGTTACCTACACACTGCATCGATACGACGCATTGCATTTGAGGAGCCGTGCCGTTGATGGAAGGGAAGTAAATGTAAATCATGTCTAGCATTTGCTAAACAGACTTATCTCCCTTCGGGACAAAGGATATAATTCTTAATTTGTTGTACGCGATTAGCTCCCTTTGATTGAGGACACATGCTCTGTGTGACGTTTGGAACGAGACCATTTTAGTTAGTGAAGGGAGTTAACTCTTGTAGAACACGATTGCCTCCCTTTGACCATGAACACAACTTTGAGAAATGTTTTCTACGCTAAATCCATTTTAGAAGAATATTCAAACGTGCACGTAACTGAACCAGCTTTGCAAAGCTTCCAATCCCATTTAAGTGTCGAAGTTCTTGGCTTTAGAGCCCGGCGTCCAGGGGCATTAGATTAAATTCCGGTATTTCCCGTGTGAGACCAACATATAGTGTTGTGTCGTAAACACAGCGGTAAAAACTAACATTTTTAGACTACTAGTCCTTATAATGATAACATATTGCCGTAGTTCGAACCTACTAGGGACGTGTTACGACGTGGTGCAGTCGAACCTAAATTTCAGTACGTGCATGTGCACACCGACCGGATCGACTTCTCTTTGGAGGCATGATGTGTACAGCTCGGAGCCCTGAACTTGAATGAAGACTGACTACAACGCGCTCGGTATCCATAGGCGTCGGGCCAGGACGCGAATACACACGCACTTAAATTTGGACGAGATGAGGACGTACTGCGAACGAGTTGGTCGGGTTAAGAATTAGTTAGAACTGGCTTGGACGTATTGTGATCGGGGTTGAACTGGTTAAGAACGGTTGGTTTGGTTGGTTAGTTTGTTGGTAACGCCGCACGCAGCAATATGACGGCGGTCTGTAAATAATCGAGTCTGGACCAGAAAATCCAGTGATTAATATCATGAGCATCGATCCACGCAATTGGGATCAATGGCATGCATCAACCAAGTCAGCGAGCCTGGCCACCCGATCCCGTTAGTCGCCTTTTACGACAAGCATAGTCGCCTTTTAGGGCAAGCATATGGGTTGCTGAAGACCTATTCTACCCCGGATCTTCACGGGTCCGGTTCAGAACGGCTACGGGCGTGCTCGAACTGCTTCGAAACGTTGTCGGGATGAGGTGAACGGGCACTTTTACACGATCTCAACTGGATACAAACGATCTGCAGACTGGCTAAGAACGAGATAGACATATTGAGGACTGCTTATGAACGAACTAGCATATATAGTACTCTGTTTATGCCGAACTACGCGTTCTACCGAACGGGGTAGAACGGGATAGAACTACTTTGGTGTGATGGTAGCATACAGGAATAGTGCCAATTTCTAACGCTGTACACATAGTATAACATGAACACTCATATAATATCCTCTATTTATTTATGAGGTCTGACGTCCCTACAAGCCAACCGACTTTATGTTGTTGGTTTTTTCTAGCCAATCAGATTGCTGTATTTTATTACGGGTATTTAACAAAACTTTGTAAACTTCACAAAGTTTACGCCAGTTATATGGGACGTTTTGTCTTTTTGTCGCGTGTCCAATATCATAGCGCGTGACTTCTCACAAGAGTTACAAAGCGATATGGCCGGGAATCAGGTCACTTGACATCAGTGATAACCTATATGTATGGACATAGTCTGGGTGTACGACACCATTTCGAGTGTGATACCAGTTAAGGCCACAAAACATCATTATTTGTTTTTTTGTTATCCCCCGTTCACTCATCTATTAACCACTTGTAATGCACACCATCACGGTTTCAGAAACCCATGTCATCTTTTCTGGCCTATAAACTTAGAAATTGGTCTTCTGTATCTTCACTTTCGATTTTTCTCCGTATGAATGAATCAATGAGCGCTGTTTTGAACATTATTTTAGTTTAATCACGGCGTGTCAGTTTCAGGAGGAAAGCATGTTACAAATGGCAGCAGTCCGATCTCGACGTTATTAACCCATATTGGTGCAGTTGTTTCGAAGTAATTAACTGAAAGGCTATATAAGTATTTACGAAGAGAATTTATGGATGTCAACTTCTTTATTATGACGAACACAACATAAATTCTCTTCCTGATGTGTATCACTTCTAAATGCCATCCAAAGACTACATTTCTGGTGTCCCCCGCCGTGATGTTGCTGGAATATTGCTAAAAGCGGCGTAAAACCATACTCACTCACTCACTCACTCCAAAGACTAAATATTTATAGTATTGCTTTCCGCTGCATCAACAATTTTGAAGGAATACTTATTAACCTGTGTTATTTCGTGGTGAGTTTTGTTGGTTGGGTGGTTGGTTGACGCCGCACTCAGCAATATTAGAGCTATAATGACGGCGACAGTTCTTTCTTCTTTTTGTAGATATATAATTTTAAATAAGATAACTTTTGTTTCTGGGACTGGAATTAAGGATTGTTTTTGACTCCATTTGGATTTTGTAAATTATATTTTGTAGAAATAAGACTAAATGTCTGTCCACTGTTGGACGTGTCGGCCTAAACTGGTACGTGCTCGATTGATTACAGAACTCCGTTATACAGTTTGATGGGGTAGCCTCGTGGTTAGGGACCAGTTCAAACGTTCGATGTCGGATAAAAAAAATCTATTCCTTCAGTATTCCATAAGTCGCCTCTTACGGCAAGTATATAGTTCGACATTTCAAGTACGACAAGCACGGGTTCCGAAGTCTTTTTCTAACCCGGATATTCACAGGTCCCCTACATGTGTACATGTATGCAGTGTGTGAATCAATTGAGTCCCCCGCTGTGGTATTGCTGGAATATCCCTAAAAGCGTCGTAAACGTATAATCTCTCACTATACAGCTTGAATATTGCGTACTACGGCATAAATGATTTGCGCTGTCAAATCAACACTCGCTCAGCTATAAATTAAGACATTGTATTACAATGTAGTGATATTTGAAATTTGTTAGATTCCAATTTTAGTTTAATAACAAAAGAAAGAGATATTCTTATGCAAAACATGTTCCTGCCCATCACTGTCAACCGTTTAGTTCTAATAATAACACGAGGTCAAAATTTGCTTCTGAGCTCAACAGCGAGCGATCTTGTTTAGACGCGCGTCAGGACGATACAGCTGGTTGTCGTGAACTTTGACACAGGCAAGATGGCGTCTCCAACAGTAAACCCCGATTTGGCTCGTGAGAGAAAGAGAGCTACGTTCGATCCCATACAACTGACTTATGTCTTATATAATGGGCCGGAGAGGGTCAGAAGAAAGCGATATTTACGTGAGTTATTTTTTTATGAGTTGTCTTTTCTTATTAACATTTATATCGAGTGAATCAAGTTTCATGTCTGCAAATGACACAGTGACTGGACAATTTTCGGTGTGAGCAAAGTCCACTCTCATGTGATACCGGCACTTGGATCTTATTAGAAATTATCACCGTTTTATATTGGAAGTGTGGATTTATTTTGAATAACACCAAGTTGTAAATAAAGGTGAAAAAAAAATTCAAAATGATTTTGACAGTCATACATCTATATTGGTAACAGATATATTGCACAAAAACCGTCAGCACAGCTGTGACACTGTTTGTGATTCATAAACTGCAGCCATGTCTAAAACTAGAACTATGGTGCGTTTTATTATATAGACAATTAATGTCCCATTCAGTGTTAGTATATGGAGTTCTATCTAGCTGTAACCTTACTAGGCCAACAGACATTAATTTTTTAACCTTAGTACAAGTGCCATAACTGTATGCAAGGTATGGGAGTTACGCTCACTTGCAACTCATCTTAGCGCTATGATTGCTTTGTACAACAGCACCCAGGCTTCAATCTCATCATAATCACATCTTAGTTCTCGCATCTGCGTGACTTTGTGTATAGGTAGTACATAAGCACATACTGATTTTTAATGAGATTGACCAGACGTTATTTGCTTAGGTTTAGAGATGGTGAGTAGGGGATAAATGGCTCTGCAAGTTTTCCGTCCGACAAGATCAACTTATCTGATTTCTCAATGTTTTATACAGTTACTAAACTCAGCAAAAACTCGGATCCTATTTTCATTCATATGCTGTCAGGAGTTGGCATTGATAAGTCTGATCTCTCCACAAGATAGGGCTTAGTTATCGCTGGTACTCGTGGGAAGTCCTTCTAGTGCAATGCATGATAAAGAATTCATTTTTATATCCGACTTCAAACTTTTGAACTGGTCCCTTAACTGCTAAAGATTCAGACTTACAGTAGATTTGGTAAAAGATATTCTGTTCTGAAGTGCAGCAATGCATTTGTGTTTCTCTTTCTTGTCCTATATATTCAGATATTAAGTGAACCTCATATTTCAATTCATGAATTTTACTTCCCATCCATTACCAACTGGACCGCCTCCGTGGTCTAGTGGTAGAGCGTCCGCCCGGAGTGCGGAAGGTCCGGGGTTCGATCCCCGGCCACGTCATACTAAAGGACCTTAAAAGATGGTACTTGTTGTTACCTTCTCTGGCGCTCTTAAGGCGCTAAAACAAGGACTGGTTGGCTTGGAGTCAGTATACTGTAGCTGAGTGGGGTATTTATGTTAAACTGTGGCATGGTATCTCAGTGTGCTAACACTATAAATCGGCATCATTCCGGACTAGTACAAGCAGCCACACACACACACACATACACGTGCATGCACGTCGCTATATAAGTGCAATAATCTTGGACGCGACGTTAAACCCCATTTCACCTCACCATTACCAACTGTCATAAACTTTATGAAGTTTGACATCTCTGAAACCACATGGTAAGCCTTTAACTTTATACTAGTGGTAACAGGCTATTGTTTCTTCATTGTTTGATGGTAGAATGAGCAGGGCTTGTGTTGCAATAATGAGCTGAAGGGTGTCGCTGAATTCGCATTGCTGGCTGCAGTAATTTGTGTGTATAAGAAGTCTGTGAAGTTATTATAGTTGACATATCTATAAAGCAGTGCGCACGTGGAGTAAATCCACTACACAGATGTGCCCATAGGATTTACGCAGTATGCACATCCATGATCGGTTTTTACATTTATACCTAAATTAATGCAAAAACTATTGAAGTCAAAACTTTCATGTGACCAACCATGAGATCAGAGACCTTATGGGTAAAACATCACATTTTAACTTCTCATTATATTTTAAAACTACAGTATCTTAGGAACTCAAAAAGTACAATTCACAAGCTTCAATTCATATTTTTTACAGAGATACATCTCAACTAATGTTTGGACTCATTTTCTGCAAAGTCCCATTTTTAGACTTATAACTGTTTATGTAATAGTTGGAGTTTTTAGATATAATGTCAGATTAATTGAATGCAGAAATGTATGCTGAAATGTTTTTCAATAATGTTTTTATTACTTTACGAACTAATGCGAGAAAATAAGATATAGACATGTTACAGAAGTAAGTTGAAGTCAAACGTCTTTCTTTAAGACATCACAGCACAATTGTATTCTTGCACGTATAAGGTCCCTCTTCTCCTCGACGGTCACAAATAATGAATGTTGCCTCAACAATTTTCAGTAGGATAGAGTAATCATGGTAACAGAACCAAGCAAAATTTTAGATTTTGGGGTTTGAGGAACTGAGAGGCTTTCTGACATTACCAAAGAACACTTGCAGTAAATGAGTACCGGTAATTGAAACAATGATCTTATCAAACGTTTGATGCATTTTACTCAAATGTATTATCATTTAAATCAATGCTAATCCAATGTTAAAAAATCTTTCCCTCACTCACTCTTAAATTTTCTTGAAAATATTTGTTTAATCATTTCACGCAAACATATACGACAAATTGCTAATCATGAACTATTTGTTTATCATGTCAATTTGTCTGTCAGAATCGTTGGCCATCAATGATCCTGTGATTGCAAACAGCCCTGACTGGCACACACTGAGTCGTGAACAGAAGTACGAGGAGGTGATGCGCAAGACAGTGTACTACACCAACAGAGTACAGGAGCTCGGACTGACCGACCCGGAAGAAATATTCAGCTACTGGGAGTAAGTGCAGTACAAGACATAGCTGCAACTGAAATGGTGGTCAAGTTGGAAACAGAAGTCTGTGTATTTAGACACTAGTCTAGTAAAGTTACGTAGGAAATGATTTCAAATGGAGTGGCCATTGCAGGCCTACTGATATCTTTTTCTGAATGATATGGAAACAATAACACAAGTTGAGGAAATCTGACAATAATACTCATAAACACTTCTCATATGTCAAGATGCTGTTTTTGCACAGTCAGCACCAATCAAGTCATAATCAAAGCTGTGGTGTTTTATGATTTAGAACAGATTTTTTTAAAGCTTCAATTGTTTAATTTTTGTGTGAACTTCCTCTTTAACGTTGCATTCAATCAATCAGTTTATTCGGTAATAAGGCCTCAGGCCCACGTACAGATATATACAATTTAGTTTCACATCAAGTGCTGCATGAAATAATATTTACAGGTAAGAAGAACGAAGACAGATAGCATTTTTAACGTAATTGGCTAAGTTCTTAAGGCTGTTTACATCAGAAGAGTTTAACATTCTAACCAGTGTGTCTTTACGATTTTTACCAGTAATGAAGTCTAAGTATGGGAAATATTTTGAGCGAAAATCTTCATAAATAGGGCAAACAAGAATGAAATGTATTTCATTTTCAACTGCCCTTAACTTGCAAATGGACAAAAACGGATGCCATCCCTCCTTCCTGTGTTATGCATAATTCCCAGTTCTCTAATACGTAAAAGGGTAAGCGTACATCGCTTTTCTTTTGATAATACATTCAATAACATTGCATTCAATGTAATAATGTAACAGCTAAAGGCACTTTTATTGGTCCTGTTATCAGTGAAATGCAAATCAGCTGTACAAAGATATGACTTTAGTTATGCAAGGAACTATTTTAACATGAGAATGGGGATTTACCTGGATTATGTACTTTGGGGGTCCAGAGGACACAAAGCCTTTAATTGGAGGCTTCCCAGGTTAAGAGATGAGGTTCCCAGAGAAATATCATAATTGAATACATTACTCTACCACTAGTGACGTAACATTGCGCATGGACAGGCTGTTAGTTAAACAATGATATGGAGTTTCCCAAATGAACCATGCATACAAGAGCTTGTGCTAGATCATGAAGCATTTGACTGTTGTGTATTTCTTAAATGACTGTGTATAGAAATTAATTTTAAGTACCAGGGTAGTACCAAATTATGAAATAACAGCATTCACTTTTTCTGCATCTGTTTAGAAATTGTATGTGTTAAGAATACAGTATTTCATGTCTGGTGACAGATCTAGATAAAATCCCTGGATAAGCCTTGGGATAATAGTTACAGTTCTTCTCTGAGGAATGAGGGTATGAAATTTTGCCCTCCATACTTCCAATTTCCAATATTTTTGGGGGGGATAGCGTCCGTAAATGAGTTGATCTTTTAGCATATAACTTATTCCTTGTTGGTGGAGTGAAACAACCACTGCTTTAATTTAGGAATGGGCTTTTTAACAATTCAATTTTCAGGAGTCGGCGGATCTGTAAACCAAGTTTGATAAATAGTCTGGCCTTATATGTGTAGGTGGGCGGTTAACGAGAAAATTGTTCACATTGGGTTAAAAGTACTAAACTTGGCATATGTTTATACATTGAACCATTCCATACATTTCTGGATATAGATCCAGTTTAGCAGTTGTGGTAGAAAATCCAAGATGGCCACCAACATGGCTGAAATCTCTAATGATATCAATCAGTTCTCAGTATGTCATAATTATCTGGTCAATTTATACAAATTATTCAGGATTAATAGCAGCAATGATGTATATAATTCAAATCTAGTATCGAGCAACCCTAATGGTGATGAAAATCCAAAGTGGATGCCAGACCAACTTAACTTTTAGATATTGTCCATTTCTGCTGCAGATATCTATATTTTTTTATATCGTTTGTTCTTTCAATAAGTTGATAAGTTTGATATGATGACCAAAACACATTTTTACATGCCATTGTATGAATGTATATGTATTGTGTATGATCTATTCGTATTATTGTACAGTTGTCTGTCAACCAATTGACATTTATGCCATGAACCTCTGATATCAACTTACTTACTTATCTACTTACTGTGACAACGAATATCAGTCTAGTGCATGTGTTTCCAGTTCCTTAATTCAGTTACTGGAAACTAAAGCTTTCCTTCATAGTGGCACAGAGCAGTGCACTTTACATGCCTAGGAATGTCTTTGTAATATTTACAGTCTGTGCAAGACTTCTCACAGGTGCAGTATATAAGTCCCTATCGTTGTTCTTGTACCTGACCAAGAGTGTCATCTTGGATATTCACATATTACTACATGTCCTCTCCCAATCCATCTGCAGGACTCTGTAATGTGGGATGTTTATCGAGCAACTGTCTCCATATTGTTTTAGCATTTGCATACAGAAGTTGATCCATGGCAAGCACAGGTATTTGACCTGGATTCATTCGCTCAACGGCCTGTTTAACCACATTCATTGAATGCTGTATCATAGCAACATAGTGTGCTCATTCTGAAATATTGGCATAAGGGCAATTGTTGTTGGAAGATCTGTTTGTGGGGATTATGATGACACATTGAATAACCTCTATGCCTGGATTGTGTGCTCTCAGATCTGATGTCCTGACAAGATTTGATTCCTATGTCTGTCACTCGACACAAGTATAGATTCTGCAGATCTGCCATATGGAATACATGCCTTGTTTCAAATGAATTAATTTTAGTACCAAAAACTAAAACATTCAGTAACACTGTACTTGGAAATGTTTAAATCCAAATTTATTGGAATTAAAGAAATGATACTAATTTTGTGAACAAACATTTTCGACAATTTCTGAAGAATAAAGGGACAGTATGTCGACAGTTCTGTGTGATTTTAAATTTAGATTAAATAATTTCCGAAAGTGACATCACATGCCTGATTCAATTCTCAAACCAAAACAATAGAGCTCTGTACAGCAAAGCAGACAAACACAAGCTCTGCGCAGAGTAAACTGGCTTTAGTCTTATTTCTTCTTATTAGAGGCAAATTGGCGTGTTTTTCTTACAAATGAGTTACAAAATACTAATTGCTAGCTTGATTTGATTAGAAGCCAGTGTTTATCAAAGCCTAGATTACAATATAAATATGCCTCAGTCACATGAAGCCAATCATTTTCCTACTCAGACTTCCTTGCGGAGTATGTGTGTCACGTCGTCACATCTTACACAGTCGATTCATGGTTTTTTTACATCTGTTTCATTTAGGATTATCTCATGAAATGTTTAACTTTCTTTGAGAAAACATCCTAAAATGTGAAAAACTATTTTCATTTGCATATTTATTCTTCATGTGCAGTCATCAAAGCCCTTTGGAGAGCTAGCGATACAGTCACTTTGTGCAGAGACCATCAAATAGAATCTGTTATGGTCTCTGCTTTGTGTAAAGATATGGACCTCAGTGTCTCAGTTGTACTAGTGTATTTATATACAATTATGCAAAACAATATGTAAAGCACTGAAAGGCATAAGGAAAAAGTGTGTCTGTTTACAAACAAGATAAAAGTCCAGTCACTTGATCAGCCTCGACCCGCAGTGATGTCACTGGAAAAAAATGCTATTGTTCACAAACAGAGATTCAGAACGGTCAACGTCCTGTCCCGTTCAGTCATTTTGGCAGCCATATTGGATTTTGTCAGCACCAGGGGATGCTGCCTGCTACATTTGAATTATATATAGCAATGTTGCAATTAATCCTGAATAAATTACTAAGGTTGACCAAATAATTATGATGTATTGAGTATAGAATGGTGTCACTAGAGGTTTCAGCCACATTGGTGGCCATCTTGGATTTTCTACCACCAGGAGGCGCTACTGAACTGGATCCATATCCGGAAATGCAAGGAGTGGTTCAATGTAGAGGTGTTTCATGTTTGGTGCTTTTAACCCTAAGTGCACGATTTTAACTAAATCCTGCCTTAAAAACCGCCCAACTGATAAGGCATAAGTAAAGTTTTTATTTTTGAAGTCCTATATATCGGTATACTAACCACATGCGATCACAAGGCATAGTCTCACGTGCTGATGGACATTCCCCTCACCTTGCATTTATCCTCCTCAGGGCTGGGATGGCTCATGAGAACTCGGCCTTTGGTCTCCATAGCAGCATGTTCATCCCGACCATTGAGAAGATGGGTACGGAGGAGCAGAAACAGGCATGGATCCCCAGATCCCTGAGTTACGAGATCATTGGGACGTATGCCCAGACGGAACTCGGACATGGTAAGACACTATGATTTTATTTGAAAATCAGACAACTGTCCATTTCAAGTGCAAGATCAGATTTACAAGTTTGTTTGTTTTTTAGACCACACCAATTGAATTACTTCTTATGCAGACCCGACCGTCACTTTTAAGCCATTTTGAAAAAAATATATAAAATTCTGTAATGGGGAAATAATCATGTCTAGTAGATGCCACCTACTATCTGTCTGCATCCAAATAGACAAAAATCAAAGTTTTCCTTTTGAAATTTTCTTGTGCCATGTATAATGAAGAGATTTCACACAGGTAACATTTTTATCCCAGGTACATTTGTACGAGGCTTGGAGACCACAGCAACATATGATCCAAAGTCTAAGGAGTTTGTCATCAACTCTCCGACCTTGACCTCCACCAAATTCTGGCCAGGGGCATGTGAGTACAACCTGAGAACCCTCTTTTCCCTGTTACGTCATAAACTATGACGTCAACAACCAGCATGACGTCACAATGACACCACCGGTACAGCCTGACAAACTGTCACTCATCTGCAAAAATGTCCGACAAGCATGAATGCAATGTATGCAACAAGACATACACCAGAAGGGACAGTCGCTTGAGACACTTCCGAGGCAACCACCTCCCGAATAGTTCAAATGCACCATTTGTTCGAAACTATACAAGAGAAAAGACGACCTGGCCAACCACATCTCCTGAATCCACGGGAGATACCTATCGGGCGAGGCTCGTAATTTTTTTTATTCGGTCTCGAGATGTACAGCCAATCTCGGCCAACACATCGACCTAGACAACAACAGTTGTGGAAAAGAAACCTCCACAACTATTGCACACTAACGGGAGACCGCAAACATCTAAGTCTCCGGACACTCAACCAAACAAGGCCCCCACGTCCCACAAGACGACACGACCACTGTTGCAAGATGATGCAACCAACCAAGAGAGACCCTCATCACTGAACATTGGAGGGTTGTCCGCCCACAAAACAGGCACAACGTGGCTGACCCCCAAACCGCGGATCCACGAGATCCAGGAAGAACTAGACAAAATTCTTAGAGAATTCAACCAGACCTTCCCTGTGACCACCCAACAAGACATCCAACGGACATCCATGCTTCTCACCATTACAGACATAACCCTGTAATTTCAGAGATATATAACTCCTTTGCAGTCAAAGAATTTTTGTGACCCTTTATGTGAGAACCAATCACACTAGAACACACCTCTTCTATAGGTGATACACACAACTTGTGCCAATATCACCAAATAATGACCAAAACACACACTGTCATTATAAGATTTTTTTCTGTCTTAAATACAATATGTTTGTCCTCTATCGCTTAACTAAAATCAGAGTTAAAGATAACATTAAGACAATATCTCAACTAGGATGTTGTTTATACATTAAATCCTTTTATATTTAATCACGACTGCCACTGGCAGCTAACCCTGATCAAACACCGGCGACAATAACACCACCGGTACTCACTTACGTGTCACCATTCAGGACACTGGGGAGCAATCACCGGCGACAATAACACCGCCGGTACTCATACGTGTCACCATTCAGGACACCGGCGGCCCCTTGATCTTGAGGAGCAATCACTGGCGACAATAACACCGCCGGTACTCATACGTGTCACCATTCAGGACACCAGCGGCCCCTTGATCTTGAGGAGCAATCACTGGCGACAATAACACCGCCGGTACTCATACGTGTCACCATTCAGGACACCGGCGGCCCCTTGATCTTGAGGAGCAATCACTGGCGACAATAACACCGCCGGTACTCATACGTGTCACCATTCAGGACACCGGCGGCCCCTTGATCTTGAGGAGCAATCACTGGCGACAATAACACCGCCGGTACTCATACGTGTCACCATTCAGGACACCGGCGGCCCCTTGATCTTGAGGAGCAATCACCGGCGACAATAACACCACCGGTACTCACTTACGTGTCACCATTCAGGACACCGGCGGCCCCTTGATCTTGAGGAGCAATCACTGGCGACAATAACACCGCCGGTACTCACTTACGTGTCACCATTCAGGACACCAGCGGCCCCTTGATCTTGAGGAGCAATCACCGGCGACAATAACACCGCCGGTACTCACTTACGTGTCACCATTCAGGACACCGGCGGCGCCTTGATCTTGAGGAGCAATCACCGGCGACAATAACACCGCCGGTACTCACTTACGTGTCACCATTCAGGACACTAGCGGCCCCTTGATCTTGAGGAGCAATCACCGGCGACAACCTCCCTATTGTTGTCATAACAACAGCTCACCAAACCGGTGACCTGCCTCTTTGTAATCTCAGACCACCGGTCCCATTAAGCCACTTGATTGGCTAAACAAGCGTCACTATAGTTACAAACACACCAGCGACAAGACAAAATATAAAGGTTCACACAACAGCTAGTAATCAGTCTGATGAGTTGAACTCGACGAAACTAGTAACTCTAGCTATAATAACGAGTATACCACCGGTGCAGCCCTGCACTCTATTTACAAAGTCCTCAGCTAGGCTGGAAATTGGCACCATATTGAGGAGTATGGTCCCCCTTTAAGAAACGGTGTCTTCAGAACATTACTTCAGTGTGTGACACTGACCCGTGAAGATTCCGGGGTAGAATAGGTCTTCAGCAACCCATGCTTGCCGTAAAAGGCGACTATGCTTGTCGTAAAAGGTGACTTGGTTGATGCATGTCATCGATCCCAATTGCGCGGATTGATGCTCATGATGTCAATCACTGGATTGTCTGGTCCAGACTCGATTATTTACAGACCGCCGTTATATAGCTGGAATATTGCTGTGTGCGGCGTTAAACAACAAACAAACAACAACAAAAAACACTGACTAGAACTTATTGATAAGCCAATACTAAACAACACACCCAAATTTATAATGTTTTGCTGGACCACCATTTAATATATGCCATTGGTTCCGGAGAAAAGTTAGGAGACTTGGGACCAGCACTAGTGTCAAACACTGTGTATATGTTGTGTATTCCAGTGGGCAAGACATCTAACTACTGTATCGTGATGGCCCAGCTGCTCACCCAGGGTCAGAACTGTGGGATACAGGCGTTCATCGTGCCGCTTCGTCGCCTTGACAACCACCAGGCACTGCCAGGTAACAGGGATTTTATATCTTGTACTGTAATATTATTAATTGTTTGAAACTAAATGTATTTAATGTACTAAATGTGACTTGGTTGATGTACATCTCATATCCCAAATGCGCAGATGGATGCTCATGATGTCAATCACTGGATTGTCTGGCCAGACTCCATTATTTATTGACCATGGACGTAAAGTTGGAATATTGCTGGGTATGGTGTTAAACAACAAACAAAGCTGCTGCTGCAGCTACTGCTGCTGCAGCTACTGCTGCTGACAAGATGTCTTCATTATTGAAGTGTATGTAATGCTTGACTTGTACACTCACATACTATTGACAAACTGTGGCTTCTTCTTACTGACACTTTGTGTATATTTTTGATGCACCTCCACAAGTTACTGATGTGTGTGTATTGTTTCACTAGGTGTGACAGTGGGTGACATTGGCACCAAGTTTGGCTATGAGAGTATAGACAATGGCTTTCTGAAGTTGAATCATGTCCGTGTCCCAAGGATGAATATGCTTATGAGATATGCAAAGGTACAACCTTGTGAAGTCACATGATGATTATTAACAGATAGCTGTATAAGGCTAAAAAAAATAATAGTCTTGGTTCTCAGACACTGCCCACATCATCATAAAGTTCATTGCACATGTTTTGTTTCCATTTTCGATTTTGTTTGTGCATTGTGTTCAAGTAATCAGATTTTTTTTTAGATTTTTTTGAAAATGGAAATAAAAACAAAACGTGAGGCAGACTTTATGATGATGCGGGTGGTGCCTGAGAACCAACACTATTAATTGTTTTAGCCTAAGACATTAAGGATGAGAAAAAGCAGCGATGTAGAAGCAAAGTAGTTAACACTGGTTCGAGTCCGAATATGGGTAATTCCGTAAATGTTTAAAGTCCTTTTTTGTGAAAACGGCAAAAGGAATATTGGTAGATAAGTCACTCTATCAAATGTTGTTGTTTTTAAATAACAAAATATCAGATTGTTACTTTTGATATTATTTATGATAATATAAACATTTGTGTAACAGAGTACCACTTAATCTGTCAACAGTACTGACAAATTCTGAACTATAAAATTTGATTGTGACAAACTCACTTCTATTTAACATGTTATGTCAGCATAATGAGGTGGAAATGGGGACCTAGTTGTGTGTTCATGTCTGCCGGGATGTGTGTTGCCAGGTGCTGGAGGATGGGACCTTCATAAAGCCAGACAACGACAAGCTCGTTTATGGGTCCATGGTCTTCATACGCTCCGTCATCACAAATGACGCTGCCCGCAGCCTGGGCCAGGCCTGCACCATTGCCATCCGCTACAGCGCTGTGCGCAGACAGACTGAAGTCAGCCCCAAGTGAGGATTACAACATAACAATGCTAGTTCCTGCTAGTTCATCTTGACAGTTATGTTTGCAGACACAGAATAACAGAATGGGGTTAAAGAATTGTTTTCTCTGGAGTGTTGGAGTCTCCACAAGGGTACTGCAGCTTGTAAACAACGTTCACTCACTCTGAGCATGGTCCTGTGTTGCTGATGTCTTGCTGTAACCATGGTTACATGGGTCTTTGCATTACCATAGTTACAGAAATGTTTGTGTTGCCATGGTACTGAGGTCTTTATTTGCTATGGTTACAGAGGCCTATGTGTTGCCATGGTTACAGAGGCCTGTGTTGCCATGGTTACAGATGGCTTTGCATTGCCTTGGTTCAAGAGTTTCTTTTGTTGCAGAGGTGAGGAGGCACAGGTCCTAGACTACCAGACCCAGCAGCACCGAGTATTCCCAGCCCTGGCTACGTCCTACGCACTGTGGTTTGCTGGGAGGTACATGGTGGACGTGTACCTGCGGGTCACGGAGCAGATAGAGAAGGGGGCCCTGGAAGAACTGCCACAGGTGAGATGGAGGACTGTCGGGTCACATCAGATGGGAATTATACTTGTCATAGGTGGCAACTAACAGGACTGGTGGGCTGACTTGGTTGATGGAGGACATTCGGGTCACATCAGATGGGAATTATACTTGTCATAGGTGGCAACTAATGGGACTGGAGGGCTGACTTGGTTGATGCATGTCTCAGATCAATGCTATTGGTGTCAATCACTGAATTGTCTGGTCCGGACTCGATTATTTTCAGACCAGCGTCATATAGCTGGAATATTGAAACAAACAAGATGGAAGTTTAGTTGATTTATTACACAGGGCAACGGATCTTTGTACAGCTGGGTCTTGATTCCTAATATCTTATGTCTGTCAGCCTTTCTGACACATTTCATGTATTTGATATTTTACCGATACATAAATTCTATGTGAACCCTACAGTATATAAGTTTAATATCTTGATGGGTTCAACTGATGTCTCCACTTTTCAAAAGTTAGTTATCTTTAGTTATCTTTAGTCAGTGTGGTTAAAACTAGTGTTTCATCTTGTATATTGTACATTAAAACTCTCTCACACTGGGTGGCTAATGGCCCACACTACTTGTTGAATAAGAATATGTTGAATACTGACATATCTGATCCGGTTCAAGTAAACAAAACAGTAAAGTAATAGTTTGTGTATTTAGATATATTTTTATTTCATTTGGGATGTCATTATCTGCCCGTTGTGCAGGAAAAATTAAATGCTTCTTATTTGTAGGAGATATTTACAGTACAGTATGACGAACAAGACAAACATTTGTCCCTCTTATCAAGTGTAAATAGATGCTAGGTACTAGACTGCTCTTTACGATCAATTATTAAAACAAATCAATTACAGTGAAAGCTTGTTTAGAAGCGCATGAAGAATTAATATGGATTATTAGGTTTTTGTAGGTGGCTTTTAGTTCACTTTATTAGAACAAAAAACAATAACATTTCTAAAGTGCCACCTTTTGATATCAGATATGTAAAAGTGTAAATTCTTCTTGATGCGATACGGAAACATAGTTCTACTTAAATCAAAAAGTTAAATGTCTTTATTATTTTGACCATTGACATTATGATCTTTAAGCCCTTTCTATTCCTCCTATAATATCTTCCACCTGTAGCTCCATGGCCTTTCATCAGGTCTCAAAGCCTTCAGCAGCTGGGCAGCCTCTAGGATGCTGGAGGAGTGTCGCATGTCCTGTGGTGGCCATGGTTACAGCAACGCAAGCGGCTTCTCCAAGATCTATGTGGATCTGACTCCAGCTTGTACCTACGAAGGGGAAAATATGGTCATGATGCTTCAGAGTGCAAGGTACATCAGTGGTCTGTCAGGGAAATGCATCTTCCCCAGGAAAGGGAGTTAACTGACTGTACAAGTCCAGTTTTCACCCTTGCCGAACTAGGTTGGAATTTCTGTGCTCAATTGCAGTGGAACCAGTCCCATGTCCCTTCAGTGTCCCTCCTATTGACCAATCAGATTCCACCTCTCATATCACTTGCATTTGCTTCAAATGAAATGGCGCCCCACAGTCAAGACGATCTGATGGATAATCAAAATATACTTTCATAGTCAGTTAACTCCCTTGCCTTGGGAAGATGGGGAAATGTCATGGACATTGTGTAGGGTCGCAATCCTTCAGGTTGCAAGGTACATCAGTGATCGGTCAGAGAACTATTATTGACATTTGTTTAGAGTAACGATGCTTCCGAGTTCATAATGGTAACATCAGTTGTCTGTCAGGGAACTGTCATGGACATTTATTTTGGGTGATGATGCTTCAGTGTGCAAAGTCAGCAAGTGACATAGCAATTGTTAAAGAAATGTCTGCCCTTTCAGGGATGCAGCTAGGAACTAAGCCAGATTGCCTGATTAAGTTTGTTTAATATCAAAGTATCCCAAGGACAAGTTCACATTTTTAGCGGTGTCCATATATGTTTTCACACTATGTGGGCAACTAAGTGTTTCAGGTTAGGTCATAAAAAGTCAGTTCTGTATCTCCAACTCCCACCTCCAACTTCCTACAAAGAAAACTGCTGTCTGTGTTCCTTTCTTTCACTACTTGATGGAATACACTATCTGCTTCATGTGTTTCACCACTGACATTTAACACCTTGTATAGTCCGTTCAAGACACACCAAACTTTATTGCCAATGAGTCATATGTTTGAAAATTTGGGATACAAAACTTAAAAGTTATTTATCAAATTTGTTAGAAGGAAACTGAGGTTGGCAGTTTGCTTGATTTTGAGAGTTGTTGATAAATGTGTTCATCTTTCAGGTTCCTGTTGAAATGTTTTGCTCAGGCCAAGTCTGGGGCCAAGCTGCCTGGCCTGGTGTCTTGTCTGAACAGACCCCTACGGGGCTCCAGCTCCATCGACAGCAGGCTGGACCTCACAGCGCTGTTTGATGCCTATGAACACAGAGCTGTCAGGTAGGTCCACTAACTGTTCGGGAATCTTCTCTGTAGTCATCAACTGATCATGTTTAGACCAGTGTTCAAAGTAAGGTCACCTGGGCTATCTTATGACACAGACATCTTGACTTGAATGCTTAATTTTGAACAGTGTCACCATCTGTTGTCTACCTGTGTGTTTACCGGTATGTTGTCACTAAGTGTTTACCGGTATGTTGTCACCATCTGTTGTCTACCTGTGTGTTTACCGGTATGTTGTCACTAAGTGTTTATCGGTATGTTGTCACTAAGTGTTTACCGGTATGTTGTCACCATCTGTTGTCTACCTGTGTGTTTACCGGTATGTTGTCACTAAGTGTTTACCGGTATGTTGTCACCATCTGTTGTCTACCTGTGTGTTTACCGGTATGTTGTCACTAAGTGTTTATCGGTATGTTGTCACCATCTGTTGTCTACCTGTGTGTTTACCGGTATGTTGTCACTAAGTGTTTACCGGTATGTTGTCACCATCTGTTGTCTACCTGTGTGTTTACCGGTATGTTGTCACTAAGTGTTTATCGGTATGTTGTCACCATCTATTGTCACTAAGTGTTTATCGGTATGTTGTCACTAAGTGTTTATCGGTATGTTGTCACCATCTATTGTCACTAAGTGTTTATCGGTATGTTGTCACCATCTGTTGTCACTGTGTTCTGTTACCACGTGTTGTTACCATCAGTTTCTGTATGTTGTCACCATTATTATGTTGTCAGACTCATCACAGAGGCGGCAGGTCGAGTGCAGGGATTGGTCACATCAGGGAAGACAGGTCAGCAGGCATCCAATCAGGCCTCAGTACAGCTTGTTGCTGCAGCCAATGTGAGTGCAGATACTTACAGAGAATCTTCGCACACCATTTGATGTTTTGTGGATTTAAACTACAGAGATAAATTTACAAAAGTTGACAAAGGAATAAAATCATGGTCTGCACGAACTTAAACACAATAAGGAAGAAAAGAAGTTTGAAAATCCTTATTACTGCCAAAGTTAAGTGATTTGTTCCAAATACTACAGATCTCATAATAGAAGAATTTCAAAAGAAATTTTGATTTATTTGGAGAGGCAAACAAGACTGAAGAAAAAGAGATACAATGTCATATCCACAATGTTATAAATATTCCCAAAATAATGGGGACAATCCTTTCATAAGATAGATCATGGATAAAGGATATAATTGATAATTTATTGATTATATCATGATATCAGATTTAAATAATATTAAAGATATAATACATTCATAATTTTAAATATCCAGTGTAGTTTGGGAAAATGTTTTTGAATTGTGTATATTCTTACCGTAACGTGTGAATTTGCTTGTCATAACGGGATCAGGTGGTCAGGTTTTCTGACTTGGTTGATCATCATATCCCAATTGCGTAGATCGATGCTCATGATGTCAATCACTGGAATCTCTGGTCCAGGCTTGATAATTTACCGACTGCCGTCATATAGCGGGAATATTGCAGAGTGCAGCATTAAACAAACAACAAACATAAACACAAAACAAATACTAGTACAGAAGATATTATGGAATAATGATGGTGTATTTATAGAAAATATACATGTAGCCCAACTGGTAGTTTTTATCAATGACCTTGCTGATGAAAACAGAATCTATGTTTTTTAACATTTTATTGCTAAATATTAAATAAAAAATAAGTTTTAGTTTTCAAGGTTCACAAAATGCAGTTATATCGTATTGTAGATCTTTTAACTGTGTTCACTGTACAAACACCTTGGACAACCCAATACTCCCTTTCAACATGTTTCATATGCGGGTTAGAAGTGGTCTTCAGCAATCCATGCTTGTCGTAAGAGGTTCACTAAGGGGATCAGGTGGTCAGACTCAATGACTTGGTATATAGATGTCACCGTGTCCCAGGTCGATGCTCATGATGTAGGTTGGACGTTTGGCTCGGACTCCATTATTTATCGACCTTTGTGACAAAGTGTTCGACAACAAACATACAAACTTAAATCTGTGATTGTGTGGTTATTGGCTGTTGTTTATATTACAGGCATTCTGCCATGCGTTTGTCCTGAAGACATTTATGGACAAGCTGTCGGTGGGTGTGTCAGATGCTGCAGCGAGGTCCGCCCTCAACACCCTGTGTCAGCTGTACGCTGTGTACGGCATCGTCGACAACTTGGGAGAGTTTATGATTGTGAGTAACAAAGGACCCTTATAATGACTAAGATCACCATTTACAGAGGAACGTCAACAAGGTGTTTGTTGTTGAATTTTGCAAATGTAATAAACATAATGGCTTGAAAGTTTTCATCTGAGCATTTCTTGGTATGTTTTTCAGTCTGCAAATTGCATTTTAACAGTTATGATGAATAGCCTGAGACAGTCTTGAAGTGTTGGATAGCATCATGGTTATCTACAGGGGTAATATAGAATACTAAACTCGCTCCCGTGTAATACCAATTTTATGAAACTCGTGAATAGTTGTGGTATCGGACTCGCTTTCGCTCGTCCGATACCACAACTTTTCACGAGTTTCATAAAATTGGTTTAACACGGGAGCGAGTTTAGTATTTTCTTTATTACTTGCCATTTATAATGTTTTTTTAATTATACTGTTGAGTATAAATAGGCTGATACCAACACGATCCACGGCATAGTCCAATTGAGTTTAACAGAATAATACTTCAAACACGTCAAAAGTTGAAACGTATGAATTTAATACCATACAACGGTCCACCTTTAGAATTCACAAAATTATCGTAGGGCTAAGACTATCGCAACTCACATACTTTAACAGACTAACGACTGTCGTTGCGCTACAATACGACCGCCTTGTGAAACGGGCCTTGCACCTCAAAGTTTACAATAACGTCACAATACCCGATGACGTAATTTGTGGAATTTTGTTGCAAGATCCATCAGCGAAACAATGCCATGTGACGTCAGCCTAGCAACAAGGTTGCTGGGGGTCATCGAGTGTGCATAGGCTCCTCTGAGTGATCTATCAACTCCACACGCAATGTCTATGAATAAGCCAAGGGATGTTGAGAGCTTTCAATATTTGTTCGTGAAACGTGTTCCGAGAGTACATAAGCACGTGTTTCGGTATTACACAATGTGTATTACAGCTGTATGTTTATTAAATGGGTGATCTATTCACGGGCAAGTAATAACTACAGTTATCACTGTAGAACTGCAATAGTAAAGACCCTATTGCAATGCTTTTACTAAGTGTTGTGCCACTATTTCAATTTTATTTTGACAATATCATGAAGACTGTTATCTTCCAGTTGTGTAGATTACCTTGCAGTATTCAACATGATATAAAGGCCTCATATGACTGTATTTCTTAGAATTGGTAGAATAGGACGGAACTTGCAAACAAGGGAGATAACTCTGATTATCTTATATGAAGTAAGGGACCAAACATATAATATTCTATCAGACCGCAGCCCCCTCCTCCAAATATCAAATTGTCAGCCCCTAGTGAATGTTTTCTTGCTAGGAATGAGTGGTGAAGTAAATGTTTAGTCATACTTTTCAGTCCATTGCTTCTTTTGATTTTCTTGATGTTGTAGCATGGCATTGGTAAAATCAAATGATATTTTACATTGTCATTGATATATTGGCATTGAGGCATATGGACAACTGCAAGGCATTGATGGTTTGATTACTCATAAGTAGCTTACTAATGGTTAAAGCATTCTTTCACCACACAGAAGACTGGGAATATAGACTGGGAATATAGGTACCATGCATACGCAGATCCAGAGGGGTAACGCAGAGGTGCTCATCCCAATTGTTCACTTATTTCTCTGTATCCTCTGCATTGATATTGCAGGAATATGGTGTAAAGGGGTATAAAAATACAGTTACTCACTGACTCACTCACTCGCTCACTGAAGTTAAGGAAAGTTGACTGTGTTATTGATGTAAAAGGAGAGACATTACTATGTTCAGGATGGCTACGTCAGCAGCAAGCAGGCGACAATGCTGAATCAGCGACTTCTGGACCTCCTGGCTGAGATCAGACCCAATGCAGTGGCCTTCGTAGATGCGTTCGACACCCCTGATAATGTCCTCAAGAGTGCCCTGGGTCGCTTTGATGGCAACGTGTATGAGGCAATCTTTGAATATGCAAAGAATTCCAAACTGAATGAGAAGGATGTAAGTACATGCTGGAAATAAGAACATAAAACATAGCATGCAATATCACACACAGACCCTGTACCTTGCAGCACAGTAACTAAGAACTATCAAGGCTGACCCACAGTATGTGTAGACTGACAACTGTATGTGTAGGCTGACAACTGTGTGTAGGCTGACAACTGTGTGTGTAGAGTGACAACTGTATGTGTAGACTGACAACTGTGTGTGTAGGCTGACAACTGTGTGTGTAGGCTGACAACTGTATGTGTAGGCTGACAACTGTATGTAGGCTGACAACTGTGTGTGTAGGCTGACAACTGTATGTGTAGACTGACAACTGTATGTGTAGGTTTACAACGGTATGTGTAGGCTGACAACTGTGTGTGTAGGCTGACAACTGTGTGTGTAGGCTGACAACTGTGTGTGTAGACTGACAACTGTGTGTGTAGACTGACAACTGTGTGTGTAGGCTGACAACTGTGTGTGTAGACTGACAACTGTATGTGTAGGCTGACAACTGTATGTGTAGGCTGACAACTGTATGTGTAGGCTGACAACTGTATGTGTAGGCTGACAACTGTATGTGTAGGCTGACAACTGTATGTGTAGGCTGACAACTGTATGTGTAGGCTGACAACTGTATGTGTAGGCTGACAACTGTATGTGTAGGTTTACAACTGTATGTGTAGGCTGACAACTGTATGTGTAGGTTCACAACTGTATGTGTAGGTTGACAACTGTGTGTAGGCTGACAACTGTGTGTGTAGACTGACAACTGTGTGTATAGACTGACAACTGTATGTGTAGACTGACAACTGTATGTGTAGGCTGACAACTGTGTGTGTAGGTTTACAACGGTATGTGTAGGCTGGCAACTGTATGTGTAGGCTGACAACTGTATGTGTAGACTGACAACTGTATGTGTAGGTTGACAACTGTATGTGTAGGTTGACAACTGTATGTGTAGGCTGACAACTGTATGTGTAGGCTGACAACTGTATGTGTAGGCTGACAACTGTATGTGTAGGTTGACAACTGTATGTGTAGGCTGACCCTCAGTATGTGTAGGCTGACAACTGTATGTGTAGGTTGACAACTGTATGTGTAGACTGACAACTGTGTGTGTAGGCTGACAACTGTGTGTGTAGGCTGACAACTGTATGTGTAGGCTGACAACTGTATGTAGGCTGACAACTGTGTGTGTAGGCTGACAACTGTATGTGTAGACTGACAACTGTATGTGTAGGTTTACAACGGTATGTGTAGGCTGACAACTGTGTGTGTAGGCTGACAACTGTGTGTGTAGGCTGACAACTGTGTGTGTAGACTGACAACTGTGTGTGTAGACTGACAACTGTGTGTGTAGGCTGACAACTGTGTGTGTAGACTGACAACTGTATGTGTAGGCTGACAACTGTATGTGTAGGCTGACAACTGTATGTGTAGGCTGACAACTGTATGTGTAGGCTGACAACTGTATGTGTAGGTTTACAACTGTATGTGTAGGCTGACAACTGTATGTGTAGGTTGACAACTGTATGTGTAGGCTGACAACTGTGTGTAGGCTGACAACTGTGTGTGTAGACTGACAACTGTGTGTATAGACTGACAACTGTATGTGTAGACTGACAACTGTATGTGTAGGCTGACAACTGTGTGTGTAGGTTTACAACGGTATGTGTAGGCTGGCAACTGTATGTGTAGGCTGACAACTGTATGTGTAGACTGACAACTGTATGTGTAGGTTGACAACTGTATGTGTAGGTTGACAACTGTATGTGTAGGCTGACAACTGTATGTGTAGGCTGACAACTGTATGTGTAGGCTGACAACTGTATGTGTAGGTTGACAACTGTATGTGTAGGCTGACCCTCAGTATGTGTAGGCTGACAACTGTATGTGTAGGTTGACAACTGTATGTGTAGGCTGACAACTGTATGTGTAGACTGACAACTGTATGTGTAGGCTGACAACTGTATGTGTAGGTTGACAACTGTATGTGTAGGCTGACAACTGTATGTGTAGACTGACAACTGTATGTGTAGGTTTACAACGGTATGTGTAGGCTGACAACTGTATGTGTAGACTGACAACTGTATGTGTAGGTTTACAACGGTATGTGTAGGCTGACAACTGTATGTGTAGACTGACAACTGTATGTGTAGGTTTACAACGGTATGTGTAGGCTGGCAACTGTATGTGTAGGTTTACAACGGTATGTGTAGGCTGACAACTGTATGTATAGACTGACAACTGTATGTGTAGGCTGACAACTGTATGTGTAGGCTGACAACTGTGTGTGTAGACTGACAACTGTGTGTGTAGGCTGACAACGGTATGTGTAGGCTGACAACTGTATGTGTAGACTGACAACTGTATGTGTAGGCTGACAACTGTGTGTGTAGGCTGACAACTGTATGTGTAGACTGACAACTGTATGTGTAGACTGACAACTGTAACTGTAGGCTGACAACTGTATGTGTAGACTGACAACTGTGTGTGTAGACTGACAACTGTGTGTGTAGGCTGACAACTGTATGTGTAGGCTGACAACTGTGTGTGTAGACAGACAACTGTGTGTGTAGGCTGACAACTGTGTGTGTAGGCTGACAACTGTGTGTGTAGGCTGACAACTGTGTGTAGGCTGACAACTGTGTGTGTAGGCTGACAACTGTATGTGTAGACAGACAACTGTATGTGTAGGCTGACAACTGTGTGTGTAGGCTGACAACTGTATGTGTAGGCTGACAACTGTGTGTGTAGGCTGACAACTGTATGTGTAGGCTGACAACTGTGTGTGTAGGCTGACAACTGTATGTGTAGGCTGACAACTGTGTGTAGGCTGACAACTGTATGTGTAGGCTGACAACTGTATGTGTAGGCTGACAACTGTGTGTGTAGGCTGACAACTGTATGTGTAGGCTGACAACTGTGTGTAGGCTGACAACTGTATGTGTAGGCTGACAACTGTATGTGTAGGCTGACAACTGTGTGTGTAGGCTGACAACTGTATGTGTAGGCTGACAACTGTGTGTGTAGGCTGACAACTGTATGTGTAGGCTGACAACTGTGTTTAGGCTGACAACTGTATGTGTAGGCTGACAACTGTATGTGTAGGCTGACAACTGAGGGTGTAGGCTGACAACTGTGTGTGTAGGCTGACAACTGTGTGTGTTGTTTGACAACTGAGATATATTTTGGCTAGACTAACAAGTTTATGCATAAGTCTAATCAAAGTTGTGTATGAAAATTGACATCCTGTTTGTATTTGTAAACTGCTTTGCAGATTTCATTTTGATTGCAGGATTTTCAAAGCATGTGTACCGACAGCTAACCATCAACATTTAGTTTCCAAATTTGTTCATGTTTTTAATCAAGGTGCTCACGTGATTTGATGCACTTCGCAAAGTAAACCCTGTCTTCACTGGGTGATGCCATTTTATTTGAAGCAAATACAAGTGATATGAGAGGTGGAATGTGATTGGTCAATAGTAGGGACATAGAAGGGACATAACTCATGATAACCAGTGGTGGTGCTACGATAGAGCCCAGAAATTCGGTTGGAAACTAGACTTTCACAGTCAGTTAACTCCCTAGACTCAGTAACATGTACACAGCAGCAAGTCCAAGGGTTGAATTCCATGGGATCCACTGGTCATGGATTTGAAGCCTGTATGGTGCGGATAATTAGTGTCAGCACCACATCCATGTTCGTCTGTTTCAACTAGCCACGAATAGCTGGAATATTGCTGATGCGGCTTAAAGCACCACTTACTCACTCACTCGTCTGTTTCAGTGGTATTTGTCTACAACTTGTGTATCTCTTGTGTGAATTGGACAAATCAATATTACTAAGATACAGTTAAAACAACAATAAAAGCAACTCACTTCAAGACGGCTTATTCCAAAATGATATGATAAGTTTTAGGGCTGGCAAAAACTATCAATAATCGGAATTATCGTCGATGGAAGAAATATTATTGATTATCGATATGAAAATTGTGTCATCAACAATATCTTACATAAACTATTGTGATGAAAAAAAGTTGAGATTTAACAAAACAGACTTGTCAATTATGTCAATTGCTGTAAATGGAATGTAACTGTCTTTGTTATGCCTTTAATGTCCACAAAGTAATTCCTGCACAAATGTGCCACAATTCACCAGTTGAGTGAAATAAGATTTTTTGTGTATTGGCTCAAAACTACTTCTCCGATATTTATTGATAATTAACAGATATTTAGTTTGCAATTATCCATCTCCATGATATGTATTAATAGCCAGCCCTAATAAATTTATCAATATTGTCCCTCCTGTCATACTTTTGATACTCTGTTTCATTGTTCCACAGAAATAGATGGCTGTGAAGGGGATAGTGGATAGCATATTGAGTACATAATGTTTATTTCAGGTCGCAGATGCATACCACAAGCACATGAAGCCTTTCATGGATGAGATGAAGCTCAAAGCCCCACGCGTGGCAGCCCGCTTGTAGAGAATGATCTTGGCACAAGGCGGTCCGGCATGTTCAGTGTTCTGTACCAGGAGCCTACAGGTTGGGGGTTCAGTGTTGTAGCATCATAATGAGTTGACTTAGGGGACGTTTAACTGTAACAAACCTAGTACCTTTATCCCTTGCTCTCTGTGTCAGCTCTTTTCTTTGATACTGCAACTTCGCAAGACCCCCATAAGTAGCCATAAGAAGAAAAAGGAGACCAAAGTTTATTTCATGAACATTTTTACTTTATTTGATTGTTTGTATTAATTTCTGACGTTTTTTGGTTCATATTTACATAGTTTATAAGAAACATTTTGAACTTTGTCCCGGGTCAGTATCTACTCAAGATTTTCTTGTTGTGAAGATGAGACACCTTCTATTGAAGACTCCTTGTCTTTACAGCATAATGTCAACTGTTTTCTAAAATATACAACAAAGATGTTGTTATAAGAACACCCGATTCTTCCATTTTACTGTAGTTAATCTGTCATGACAGTTTAACGAAATCATATGAAAGAATCAGGTGTAGTATATCCCAAACAATACATACCACAAGGAGCCACCTATAGGTTCAGCAGACCCATTTAACCACTTTCTAGTGTTGTACGACTGTGTTTGTTCGTATTGCAGCTTACATCGTTAGAGGAGCCAATTGTTCTTGTGAAAATCATTTTGAACAAATAGAACACTGAAGACATGTACGACTTGAAGGAATTGTACATGGTTGTTTTGAAAATACATTGTATATTTTTGTATACTTGGTGTACTATATTCACCATATTTAGCCAGACAAAAGTTAATTTTTACAAGTATACAAACGCCAGAAAGTTTCAGGAGTTTGTAATTGCTTTGTAACTATTATCGAAAAAATGTTAGTTTTGCTAGATCACTGACAAACATTTAGCTCACTGTGTATGGTGTTAATAAGCATCCCCCCGACATACACACCTTTATCAATTTCAAGGTGCTTATTACAGCTAATAGTACATGATTAATTTTTACAAGTAATTACCATAAGGGTTCATATTGATTTATTATAGATGTGTGTAGTTTTGCTGTTTAAACACAACTTCATATAAAATTAGATCTATCAACATTATTTATACTCTAAGTTATTGGGTTAAATTAAGCACACACATCAAGTTGACCTCAGATTGGGAAGAATATGTCAAGTTGAACATTTTGAATATTTTGAATGAATGAGATATCCTTTTAAATAACAGATCACCAAGTTACTATTTGTAAACAGACTGAGAAAACTCATCCAACTAAATAATACCTCAGGAAACAGTGGAGTTGTGATATTGAATGATTTCATTGTAATCTGCATGATACCAGATCCTGCAGCATTAAGTTTTGTTTCATGGCAACCCAGTATGATATTAAAGTATACAATTTGATATGGATGTTTATCAGAGCCATGACTGCTGCCAGAATGTGTTGTCTCTTGTGATGGTCAGTTCAGGTGTGCTGAGAATACCTCACAAAAGTAACCTATGAGAACAAATAAATCAGCTCATTCATGTTGCAAGCACACGTTAAGATGGGATTTCTGATTGCTCTCTCTATAACAATAGAGATATGGAAAGTTCTGCAAATTTGTTACCAGTGGTGAAATGTGACCACATGTGATAATTTATTTCTGCAATAAAAATCAAAAGTGATATCAGTGATAGTTGTTTTGATATCTGTTTGTGATAATTTTTTCATCATATGCAGATGTGAATTTCGTTTGTCTGTTCTGCAAGCCATTGTGGAGTCAACTGTACTTTGTCTAAGGTTTTCTGAGCTGGTTTAGTAAATTAACATCTTGACCCAGTTGATACCCAGATTACTTTTTATAACCCCAGGCACATCAGCTTATAGGACATGAGACCTGACCACAGCAATTTGCCATCAGCTGTCTTGACTAAATATCTCTATGTAATTGTAATCTTCACTATTTCTGTGTTTCTCCCGTATGTGTCCAAAAGAAAAAAAAGATTCAACAAATTCAAACTGTCAAGCAATGTTTTATTAACACAGAAAATTTAAAATGTCTGAAAATCATATAAAAATATAATCACCTGGACATAAAGATGACACAGAATGACAAGGTTTGAAAACGAGTATCCATCTATTAGATATTTTGGCCCTTTTCCCACACCAAATCATCATCATGGCACACTGTATATTGTCTGAAGCATTAAGATGGCAGATTATTGGAATGAAAAACGTAGAAATGTCTTGTAGGGAAATTGGACATCTACTTTGACGTCACTAAATTTAAATTTCAAGACCCAGGTCAGGTCAGACATCCAGGAGAGAAGATGCAGCATTATTCAGTTTTAAAGGCAAGGCACAGTGGCTACCATGCAAGACCAGTTAACCAGTACCATCAGAAATCGTCTGGAAACTGCTTGATACAGGGCCAGAAGACCAATCAAATGTCCCTTGTTAACTCAGGGCCATAATGGGGCTCTTTTGGTATGGTCTAATCAACGTCTAAACTGGAATATTGCATCATGGCGGAGATTCCATTTTTCTGATGACTAAATATGTACATGTGGTTTTCATGTAACTATACAAGACATGGCAGCAGAATTACTTTAAATGTAAAAAAGTAATGGTTTAACGGCAGAAACATGACACATTGGACACCTTGCAAGAACTTTCATCACTCGCACTTCTAAGCACTCACACAAATAATTACTTCGAACTTGCTTTCCTCCACAACACATTATCAGGCCACTCACTATAGGTGTCAGTTGGATATCTTTCTTTTGTCCGATAAGGATTGAACGGTACATAGTTTCTTTTGGCCATCCATTCTAATATTTTCTCCCCAGTTGAACCCTTCCTATAAAACCTCCATTCCATGTAAATAGCTTTTACATTCAAAGTACTGAAGAATTTTTCTCCACTACTGAGGACCTGGTATTCATGGCCTTCAACATCCATCTTTAAAAAGGCATTCTGAAATTTCGACTTCGCTTCTGGTAAAAGGTCATCAAGACGAACTGTTTGTGTGACGTCAGGGTTAAAGAACCGAACCTTGCTACCATGGTGCGAATCAACAATGCCAGTTCCACCAATATTCCCTGTTGCACGACTGAACCTAACTTCTCTGTAACTATTAGAAATAGCTGTGAAAAAAATAGTCACTTTTTTGGTCAATCCACCATGTTGAACCGACTTACAAAACCTGAGCACATTCTCCACAAGCGGGTCAGCTGCTACAACCTCGTGCCCAGCACGTGCAGCCATAATGGAGAATGTTCCCACGTGGGAACCGATGTCAACAAATCCAAGTGTCCGATCTTCTGCCAAGGTGTCTTGGATTACCTTTGCAGACTCCGCCTCATAAACACCCAGGTAGTATATGTCTCCAGATACATACTTATCATCCTGAAGATCATGGATGTATATAGGTGTATCACCAGCATCTGTTTTGAGGCTTACACACTCAAAGCTATCTGTCCATGCACAGAAGCTGTGTAGTTTGATCCAGGCATTGCCATCCCAACGGAAAACACGACTTTCAGGTGAACCACTATCTGTCTCATCCATAGGGGAGTTTGAGTACACAATATCTGGATACGGAAACACTCTACATTCTTGCTTCTTCTTCCACACTTCATATTTACACATTAACGGACAGCCCACAAATAACACAATCACCACAACAGAAATAATGCCAGCTATCTTCTTCCAGTGGATGGTAACCGGCCGTGCCATTTTAAGCTGTATAATCCCGTAGAAACTAAAGTAATAAAGGCGTCTATATCGATACAGTTTTCAGTCTCGGTGGTCCATCAGATCTCTTGTTCCAGCTCTTTAGCATGTCTGATGTCATTGTGGATTACAATGTGGCTGGCGTCTAGACATTCTTTCAGCTCCACCTGCAGCAACCACCTGGAAGTAAGGAAGAATAAGGATATATATTAAACATCTACAGCAATATCACGGCTGGCTATTAATATTCCATTCTTGATCAGACTTTTTGTTTGTTTGTTTTTTGTTTAACATTGCACTGGGCAATATTCCAGCTATATGATGGCAGTAAATAATCGAGTCTTGACCTGACAATCCAGTGATTGATATCATGAGCATCGATCCATACAATTCGGATACTGAAGACATATTCCAGCCCGTAATTTTCTTATGTATATTCTAGCTGTCCTAAAGGACACTTTACATGTGTGTCTAACTTTCTAAGAAGTAACAGCAACAACAAAATCTATCTGTAACAGTAGTGACAATCATGGTAACAGGAAGGACCTTTGAAAAAGAAAGAAATTTATCATTTGTTTTTTTGCATCAGCTCATAGTGAAAATGTCAATGGTAGGACATAGCTTAAAATAATTTCTGGGATGTTAAGAAACTTTCATAACAATGAAGTTATGACAAAAATTGTGATTTTAATTGCCTAGTACAGGTAAACTAAAATTTGATTAACATTATTAACTAGCTGAACAAAGTTTGATGTCTTGATGACATTGCCTTCATGCAAAATCGATCAATTGCTAGTTCTTGACTTCTCTTATATTCTCTGGACCTTATTCAGCAAAGTAATCAGGATCAATGCAAAATACATCAAAATAAAGTCTAATGTCCATATCATCATAGGTCAGTCATAGACGAATTCTGAGATTACCCTATCACGGAAGATTTGCAGAAAATGTAACTTACAGCCAAATTGCATAAAAATCGATGAATTTGTTTTTTTATCAAAAAATCAATGTTCATTATTTTCAAGCTTTGCTTTCTAATTTTGCACTGGATTAATGCGCAAACATTTAACATGGGATTCAAACATACAAAAATATCAATCATACCATAAAACGAAATTTCTAATTCTTATTTTTTCTTAATCTTAACTATGTTGACATCTAACCATAAATAATTATCAGACACTATGGATATAATTTTGCATAATTTTATGTCTTGAAGTGTCTAAATGCATACATGGTCAACTTTTGAATGGTCAAATGTATCATATTAAATGTACATATGATAAACTAGAGTCCCTATAGTTACACATGTCTTCTGATCTAAAGTTAGGCTTCAACAACTGTAAATATCAAACAAGGCAATCCTTGGTGAAATAACCCGTAGGAATATTTTTGTAGTCAGACAATTAAGGGTAATTAAGTATTGGATAAAGTTACTTAGAATGATGTCTGATAGATATGATCAGTGTTACAAAATGTACTTATGATAATGGTAAAAATAATTGGGTTTCAGATGTGAGAAATCTATTATTTGTTAGTGGCTTTTCATATGTATGGATTTCCCAAGATGTGGGAGATCCACAGGTTTTTCTTATATTCATTTAAGCAAAGACTAAAGGATATATTTTGTCAACAGTGGCACAAAACTTTATCTTAGCAATTACAGCAAAGTAAAATCATTGTTACAAACTGAAAGATATTTAACTTGTTTAACCAATAAAAGTTTAATCAGAGCTTATTGTAAACTTAGAATTTCTTTTCACAATTTTAATGTAAATGTATGTCGCAGGTCCAAAGACAGTGATATTGTGAACTCTATTTGTACAAACTGTTCATCCAGAGAAGTAGAGGATGAATACCATGTCTTCGTTACATGTGAAACATATTCCCATTTAAGGTATTTTTAAAGACTGTCAGTTGATGATAAATCTGCTAAACTCTGAAAATCCTGATATGATCCATGCTGTTTCTGTATATTTTAAACATGTCTTTAAAATGAGAAATGTGTAACTTGATTTAAAGTCCAATCATGTACATCACGTGACAAAAGTTAATATCCAATCTGCATTGTACTATGGGCCTTGATGCCTAAATCACTGCATAAACTGTCTGTCCAATGCATGTTATGATATATAAGATTATTCTGTTGAAGTTGAGTAGTTTGCTAAGTCTTTAAAAGTTCATATTTCATAATGCACAACTCTCACATTTCGAAAGTATATAATTTAATCAGCTAGGACTGTCCCTTCTGTTACACTGCCATCAAATGAAAGAGCTGTTAAAGAAGTTAAACAATTCAGCACCTTTCAACTTTGAGAAAAATGTATCACCATCTATCTAAATATTCATTAATACATTAATATACATCATAAACATTATTAATTAAACATGAAAACACAAATACTGTTACTATTGTCCATACTGTCAATACTGTTACATAACGTGTGCCTACTGTTATCCGTCCTGTCCTTACTGTTAGACCCGTGAAGATTCCAGGGTAGAATAGGTCTTCAGCAACCCATGCTTGCCGTAAAAGGTGACTATACTTGTCGTAAAAGGCGACTAACGGGATCGGGTGGTCAGGTTCGCTGACTTGGTTGATACATGTCATCGATCCCATTTGTGTGGATCGATGCTCATGATAACGATCACTGGATTGTCTGGTCCAGACTCGATTATTTACAGACCGCTGTCATATAGCTGGAATATTGCTGAGTGCGGAGTTAAACAACAAACATCACATCACATCATGGGCATACTGTTATTATACCTTGCTGCTGTACTGGTCGGTGAGGGTCGTGGCAACAAGTGTCCTCAGTTTCGGAACTGCACCTCAAGTAGTGTACCAAAACCACAGAGGATGGTAGTGTGTAACGACACAGGATGGAACTAAAATTTTCATGGTTAGCAATCAGCAATATTCCAGCTATATGACAGGTGAAGATATGGAGACAGATGTGTAGATATGTAAGACATTGTAGATATCGCTGCAATGAAATTGCACCACAATACTTTGCAGACCATTGTGATGTCATTGGTTACCATGATGTCACAATCAAATGACATCACCAATGGCTCTGCTACTGAAGCTGTTAGCAGTACTTTTTACACTTAGACACTGCTTATTACTGTCTACAAACTGAAAAAGTTGGAAGAATGATGTTGGATGATAAATAAAATCTCCCCCAAGTGTCTTTTGATATCAAATATATAAACACTTGTTGATATCAACTTGTGTTGATTTTTTTTATATCAAAAGAAACTCAGGTGAGATTGTCTATTTAATTACCTGTGAATTCTCTTTTATGTAAGCTTTTTAATGCAATCTTGAAATTTCAACTTAGTATCTTGATGCTATGTTGAAATTTCAAGATAATAAGATAAAATTTCAGATAGTATCTGGAAATTTCAAGTAAATAGATTCTAACTAAAAATTGTCATGTCATGCTAAAAGGCTTCGGTATGAAAATCTACATAACAATAAATATTTATAAACTTCAAAATTATATTGGTCAAGAAGATCAAATCTTTACTCATCTATGCATTAATAAGCTCATGACACCTTCGAAATGTCCAATTTTTCGATGTTGATGGGGAAATATGAGTGTAAATCTAATGATATTTTCCTCCAAATTTGTGCACGCATCGATTTCCTCATCTAGTCAAGGAGCATTCAAATAATAACGCATACCTACCGACTTAATTATGTAAAACAGTGTCTGTATAATATTGCCACTTTTGAAATTAATATGTATTACTGAGACATTCCATTAATGCTTCTGAATCTCAAGTTCTGCGAATGCTCAGAACTCGTACAGCAACACAAAATGGCGACCGAGGTTCAAGGTCACTGAGCGAGTCGGTAAGGGATGCTGGGACCCGCCTGGAGATTAGTGCCAGTCGCGTCAACACAGGGAGTTGGGTTACATAGACTGGCGGCAAGTTTCCCTCGCCAGTTCCCTCATTCCCAGGCTGTGATTGAAGGTAACCCCCACACGCACCGATCTCATCACCTGTCATCAGAACTCTCACGCCGAGTTCTTGTGATAATTAAAATATTTGTGCAATGTTCTGCACTTTTCATATCATACTTCTATTAATTCTAAGTCGATTACATGGTTTGTTTACGGTAGATGAATTTATGTGACCATAGTGTCATTGCCAAACCTTTTAGTTCAATATTCAGACTGCACAATATCTGGGGAAAACATCACCACATCACTGGTTGTATAGTTTACCTGAGGCGTGTTCAGTATAGTGCGACCGCTGTCTCGCGTTGCCTGCTTCACGCTCAAGTGACTCTCGCTTCACGATCAAACACTCCCTTTTCGGTCTTATGCCCCACCACTCTCCTACCCAGAGTTCCATGCGGCCGGCAGCCAGCTAGCATAGTACCTCTGCCACAGGCCAGCGCCATGTGACGATTCGTCACATCTTTCACAGTCCATTCAAGATATTGCATATGATTTTCATCCGTTTCATGTTTGACAAGTCTACACATTTTCATAAACAAATGTCAAAGAATGGTTAACTTTCATTGAGAAAGTATGCAAATACGTAAAAATCTACTTGTTTTCGCGTAGTTATCCTATGTTTACATTGGTTGTACGGCTCCACGTGCTGTCATCGAAGCCCAACGGAGAGCTAGCGACACGGTCACTTTGATGCATAAATATATATTGTCATGCAACTCACTGTCGCAGTTGTAGTAGCATATCTATATAGTTATGCAAAACAATATGTAAAGCGCCCCCAAATACTTGCATTAGTCCGTTCTATACTGATTTCTGAAAAAGCGCGTTTGTTTACAAACAAGAGAAAAGTCCGGTCACGTGATATGCAAATTAGCCTGTGGCAGTGGTGTTATGCTGAGTCACCACTGCGACGGAGTGTGATGCCCCACCCTTCACTACGACCACGAATATCCCGAATCACCCTGAATCGGAAACTTTCGAAATTCGGGATGATTCGGCCAATAATGCAAACTTTCGTGGAGAATCGGTAGGAGGTACGAAGCAGTTACGACAAACGTACGACGGAGTTGAAAAATATGAAGAATGCCAGGAATGGATTAAGAAACATGTACGAATTACAAGATTCATGTACGGATCATGCACGAATTGTAAGAATTTTTTTAATCACCTACGACTAAGTTACGAATATGCCGAATGCAGGACGAT